AATTGGTAATTTTTTCCAGAACTTGGCTGTGCAGTTTGTAAAAATACCCTCACAATTTCAGTTTAAATATTTCTTATTGGTGATTAAATGGTGTTTGTTACCTCTGAACAAATGTTTGAAGACTGACCTGAAAAATTTAAAGAACACAAATGTTGAGGGGGTATTTTCCAAGTTATTTTCTCTATATCATAATACCATTTGTACATTTGTATGAGATCTCTTTGTATTCTTCATTGTTTTAAAGATGTCAATTTCATTTTTTCTAGCCTTTTATTGTATGATAGATGACGTAGTTTTCATAGTCTTTCATTGAATGATAGATGACGTAGTCTTTCATTGTATGATAGATGACATAGCTCAGGTACAGATTTCATTACTTGTTTTTGATTTTTTTTTTATATGTTCATTTCTTTTTCAAGATAAGGATTCCATACCTGTATTGCTAATTCTAAATGCGGCCATATATAACTACAATCTTATTAGTTCACTATCATTATCACTAATATCACTATCTTTAAATGATTTGCATATTATACTAAATTTATAGTTTGCAATAGATGATGCAATTTTGATTTGTGGTTCCCATTTTAAGTTATTTGAAATTAATACATCTAGATCCTTTTCCAATTTAGTTGTAATTAATTCTTGCTTTGTATTATTGTTAGTCATGAAATATTTATTACTCATCTTTCTAACATTGCAATGGCATTTTGTAAATCATGTGCAAAAACAAAAACCATTGTTAATTACTTGAACAATGATTTTGTTTTGACTAGCAAAGAGTAATTTAAGTTTTTGAGTATATTTTTCAAATTTATGTTACTTAGCATTTTCACTTGCATTATGTAAAAATATAAAAAAGTTTGTCTGTTTTGAGTCTATTTTTTATATATAGTAAGAACGCGTTTGCCAGGAGTTTAATGAATAAATGTTTTACCTTATCGTATAAATGTTTTACATTTAAACAAATCACAAAGAAACACAGAGTTATAGAAAAGAATCGTTTTTAACAAATTCTTAATTTATTTTATTTTTTTGAATTTTATTAAACAAAAAAATAATAAAATAAGATATAAGATTCTGAACAAATTATATATGGTTTTAATAACGTAAGTCTTCATTTTTTCTGTGAGTTTCAATTCATAATACATAATCATTAGTAAAGATTAAAGACTGTCATTAAACTAAAACGTGCTTCAGTATTAATTTAACAGAGTCTGTAATGTGCGCATGTATAATGAAACCCCCTTTATATAAATGTATTTAATGTAATATTAGTGTCATCAGCAGATGTTATAGTCTACTCGTGATTTTTTTAACTTTAAAACTTACTAAACAGCAAATTAATCTTAAATCAAAACCATAGAACCAATGACATACTTAAATCTATTTCCATTAAAAACATACTATATAAAAAATGCACAAAATGTAAAGATATTAGTACTAAAAATAAATAGTTTTCTAAATTTAAATTTTATAGAAACAGAATCAGCAATCTTCTAAAAATTATTAAAAAATCCTATTACACAACCTATTTTAGTAAAAAGTTAAACAATATTAAGAATACTTGGAAAGGGATAAAAGAAATCATTAATATAAAACCTTCCTACTATAGTTCAACTCACAAACTTAAATTGAAAGAAAATATTATCTCAGATCAAACTACTGTATCGAATATATTAAATAACTTTTTTTTACTATCCAAAACAAGCTTCAAAACAAAATCATATCTTTAACATCCAAATTTACTGACTATATCAACTCTCCAAATTCTAGTTCATTTATTGATCCTGTCACAGAGAATGAAATCTCTAATCTTATTTAAACCACCCTTAGAACTGGAAAAAGCTTTTGTCCTAAAAGCCTTCCTACATTCTTTCTTAAACTTATTCCAGACATAATTTCTAAACCTCTCAGTATTATTATAAATAATTCATTTCAAAACAGTTTATTCCCAGATGCTTTAAAAGTTGCTAAAGTCATTCCAATATTTAAAAAAGGTTCTACAATGGATATGTCTAACTACCGACTCTCTTTTCTTTCAAACCTAAGCAAAATTTTTGAAAAAGCTATGCATAATAGGCTCTATGGATTTTTGAATAAATTTAAATGCCTTTACAAACACCAGGATGGGTTTCGTGCTAATCATTTCACAACTCATTCACTTATTAAAATTACTGAGTCAATTAGAAAAGCTCTTGATGATAAAAACTTTGCATGTGGTGTCTTTGTAGATCTACAAAAAGCTTTTGATACAGTAGATTATTCTATCCTTCTCAAGAAATTAGAATATTATGGAATCAGAAGAACACCTCTTAAATGGTTTACTTCCTATCTTCACAACAGATCTCAGTTTGTCTCAGTCAATAACTCAAAATCTACTCAAATAAATTGTTCCAACGGTGTCTCTTATCTTAAGGCTCAGTATTAGGACCTCTACTTTTTTTTCTTTATATTAATAACTTTAATAACTCAATTACGTTTGCAACTCCTTACCACTTTGCTGATGATACTAACTTGCTCATTATCAACAAATCTTTAAAAAAATTAACAAATACATTAATCATGATCTTGCCAACTTAGTTCAGTGGCTTTGCTCAAATAAGCTTTCTCTTAACTGTAGAAAAACTGAACTGGTCATATTCAAATCAAATAAAACAAAAATCAATAAAAATTTAAACTTTAGATTAAGTGGCCAGAAAATCATTCCTGTAAACTCAATCAAATATCTTGGAATTATAATTGATTCCAACCTATCCTTTGTATCCCATCTTAAAGACTTAGCCATAAAATTTAGCATATCAAATGGAATGCTGGCTAAAGTTTGCCATTATGTCAATCTGGAAACATTAAATATATATCATGCCATTTTTGGCTCACATATACTATATGCTTGTCAAATATGGGGATTATAACAGTTCTAAGGCGTTTGATAAAGTTTGACATGCTGGTCTTCTCCATAAGCTTTCTTCTTACAGTGTATCTGGAATCATCTTTAGGATTATCGAATCCTTCCTTTCCAATCATAGTATAAAAGTTGTCCTTGATGGACAGCACTCTTCTTCTTATTCTGTAACCTCAGGGGTTCCTCAAGGTTCAATCCTTGGCCCTATACTCTTTTTAATTTACATTAACGATCTTCCAGATTTTCTCACATCTAAGGTGGCATTGTTCGCTGATGTTATCGCAATAATTTAGACCTTCCTATATTTATGAACAGTAATGTACTCGATGAGTCTCCTACCCTTCATCTTCTAGGATTAACTCTTACTTCTGATCTATCTTGGAAACCATATATCAAATCCGTTGCAAAATTAGCATCTGCCAAAGTCGCTTCTCTTTATCGTACTCGTCACTTTCTTACTCTGGATTCTATTCTCTATCTCTATGAATCTCAAATCCGGCCTTGTATGGAATACTGTTGCCATATCTGGGGTGGATCTTCTAATGATGCCCTTTCTCTTTTAGACAAGGTGCAAAAACACATTGTAAACATAGTTGGACCTAATCTTGCAGCCAACCTTCAACCTCTGTCACATCGTCGTAATGTTGCTTCTCTTTCTCTTTTCTACAAATACTATAATAGGCACTGCTCTAAAGAGCTAGCGTCTCTTGTGCAATCTACAAAAATTCATTCTTGTGTTACTCGTCATTCAACTAAGTCTCATCCTTTTTCTGTTACTGTTCCTAAGTGCTCCAAAAACTCTTATTCGTCTAGTTTTTTTCCTCAAACATCAGTTCTTTGGAATTCGCTTCCTTCATCTTGCTTTCCTGATTCATATAGTTTGCAATCTTTTAAGTTGTCTGTCAATCGTTATCTTGCTCTACAATCTTCATATTTTCTCTTCCAGTAACTTCCAACACTAATTAGTGGTTGCTTGCAGCCTTGTTGGAAGCGAAGTTGTTAAAAAAAAAAAAAAAAATGTATAAATTTATGTGTATGCGTATATATATGTGTACGTGTATATGCCTATATATATATATATGTGTATGTATGCATCAATATATATAATATTATTAAATGTGTGTATATATATTTAAGTTTGTATATGTGTATGTATTATGTGTTTATGTATGTGTATGTATGTGTATGTATGTATATGTATGTGTGTGTACATATATACATTTGTGTATAGTATATATGAATCTACATCTATGTGTGTATATTATGTATGTATACAATTATTGTATACATACCTGTATTGAATACAGCAGGATATAAGTATATGTGTTTATATGTATTTGTGAACGTAAGTGTGTATGTGTGTTTGTATGTATGTATTTGTATGTGTCTGTATATGTGTGTATGTCTGTGACTAATACTAAATTACTATTATTTTTTTATAATTTTTGCAATTATTTTTCTTTTTGACATTTTAATTTTTGTTATTATCATTTTAATTTTATCATTGTATTATTATTATTGTTACTACTACCACTTTTATTATTATCATTATTAGTATTTTTACTCCTTCAGCTTTTAATGTTCATTTTGTAACTACTGTGGAGGATTAATGTTACTATTAGCATTAACAATATATTTATTAGCTTTTATTTGAAAGGTTTTTACTTAAGATTAGTACATTTACTATTTGTAAGCCTCTGTGAATGTAACAATTTTTTCAGAATATATGAATTGATTGATTGATGTATTGATATATATATATATATATATATATATATATATATATATATATATATATACATATATTTATATATATACTTATATATGTATACCACATATATATATATACATGTTATATATATACATATATTTATATATATACTTATATATGTATATATTTATATATATACATATATATATATATATATATATATATATATATATATATATACATTTATATATATATATATATATATATATATATATATATATATATATATATATATACATTTATATATATATATATATATATATATATATATATTATATATATATATATATATATATATATATGTATATATATGTACATATATAAATATATATATATATATATATATATATATATATATATATATATATATATATATATTATATATATATATATATATATATATATATATATATATATATATATATATATACATATATAATCTGAGTTTTTTGTTTTAATGTTTATGTTGTTAAAATTAGTTATATTGAATTAGGAACGATATCAGATTGGAGTTCATGGGGTGCATGTTCTGCGAGCTGTAACACTCTTTTTGGTTCACCATATCAGACTAGAACTCGATCTTTTTCTGGATATTCAACATGGAATCCTTCATTTAAGGGTTGTTCTGGAATCACTTCAAGTGAGCAACAGAGTTGTAATACAAATGTTACCTGTCAAGGTAAGTGTTGGTTTTGAAATAATTTTTATATATCTTGTTAATGTTGTTGATGACCATAAAAAACATTTGTATTTTTACAAAAATTAGGTACTTATGGTGAGTGGAGTGCTTGGGGTGATTGTTCAGAAACCTGTCAGTCTAATCAAAATACACCTCCTTTCCAAACTCAAACTGGGCAATGTATAGGGGCTACTTTGGGAGGAGGTTGTGTTGGATCAAGTACTCAAACTCAACCTTGCAATATGGAAGTACCTTGTCCAGGTAATATATATATATATTTTTAAATAATTGATTTGTCAACTATTTAATATTGATAACTTTTTTTATTATATATATTTTACATGATTTAAAGTTAAGAATTTTACCATATATATGTTCTCTATTTCTGGCATAATTTTTCTGCACTTTGTTGTAATTTAAGTGAAAATCAAAAGTTGGAAGTGATCAATAATGATCATACAACTGTCTCCAACAAGTACACTGTAATCAATCAGGATTTTGAGACAAAGTGCATCACATGGGTTTCATATTTCATGTTAAAATAGTACTATTAGGTTAGACAGTAATTGATTTACAAAATATGTTGTAAATGACAAGGTTATGTTATGAAAAAAAATTTTTTTTTGCAACCTAGTTTATTATATGTATACCTAAATATATACTATGAAATATTTAAAAGCGTAAATAAATCCTTGAAATAAATTTTATATGCTATATATATGCTTGATATGTAATTGAAATTGCATATTGGGATTTTCTTACTACTAATACTGTTGCTGCGATCCTGTTGCTAGGTCTACTGTGCTTAACTGCAAAAGCTGAAGCAAAAACTCTAATCATCCAGAGCAACATAAAGTTTGCTTACTTCACAACAATGCTCAACCACAAGTTGCAATATTGCCTCATAATCATTCATATTCACCATAGTTACCAGATAGTTTTCTGAGCAGCAATCTATGAGAGCTTTTGAAAAAAGATTGACCAATATTTGATTTGATACTTGACTCTTTGACTTGACTTGAGCAACCTTTTTGCCTCCAAGTCAGTAAAAGACAAGATTAATTGGTAAACTCCTATTTATTTGTTTTTATTAATAATGATTTGACACTCAAAATTGTCAAATCATTTTTGTACACACTTTTCAGTTTTTATGATTAAAAATTTTAGTTCACCTAACTACTCCAATTAAGTTTAGTTTTTTATACTTTTAGCTATTTCAATCTAATATTAGTTTTGATATTTGAGATTTTATTTTGATAATGAAATGATGTTTTATTTCTGTTGCATCTGACTTGCTATCATTTTTTTTTTTGGATAGAAATAAAGTATTTAAAAAAAAAAATGCTTTTATTTTCAAAATAAAAATACTTTTCCTCATTTCATTTCATAATCACGCTTAATGTTTAACATTGATCAAAAACATATTAGTAATATTTAAAAAAACAACAACTAAAATTGGTAGTTTAAGTTGTTTTTTTTTATATTGCAAAGTTTCTCAATTTTAAAATGGTGAGAAATAACGAGTTAAACATTTATGAGACCCTTGTTTTTTTTTAGTGTGTTGATATATTATTATAAGTAAATTTTATATAAAAATTTAATAACTTTTTAAAAAAATAATTGAATTTGTTAAATAGAATTTACTTATAATAATATATCAACAATAAAAAACCTAAATAATAGATAAATCGCCATAATTTATTTAATTTATTATAACTAGTTTAATAATTTTATATATACATAGTATTTTATTTGTAAGGGTGCAATAATTTTATTTATAAGGGTGCAATAATTTTATTTATAAGGGTGCAATAATTTAATAAACACTGCAATAATTTTTTAGATATCTTATTTTTAGATATCATAAAAAGAATGAAATTTGCTAATGGTTTTAATCAAGATTTAGTGCTGTTGCATAGTTTTAAAATTTTTTGAAATAATTATGTTTAATTTAACGTATTGATGTTTTAGGTACTTTAAGTGATTGGGGATCATGGGAAGCATGCTCATCTAGTTGTCAAATGAGTTTTATAGCACCAACTCAAACAAGACGTCGGGTCTGCACAGGCAATACTTTTAATGGCAATTGTAATGAAGCTGTGTTAATTGAAACTCAAAACTGTAATGAACAAGTTGTTTATCAAGGTTTGTCTAAAATTTTATATATATATATACATATATTATATTAGTTTATGTTATATATGTATGTATATATTAGGGTGGTTCTAAAAACAATATTTTTTGAAAATGTTTGATGGGACCCCCTAAATGTGTTCTATGTAATAAATTGATACTGCATTTAAAATTTTTTTGAATAAATAAAATTTTTAGGGGTTGCACAAGACCCTTAAACATCAGACAGGTCCCTAATATTTTGAAAAAAAAAGTTCTTTAAAAGCGAATTATGTTGGGCCTCAAAAGAAGTGAAATTTTATGAAAATTTCAAAAATAATAAAAGAAATTTACGAAAACATAATTTTATAAAAGTTTATTATAAAAAACTATGAAAATATGTACTTTTTTACTTTTTGTTAAAAAATGCCATAAAATTTAAACTAGTAGTCTTTAAACTAGTAGTCTTGTTTTAGGATGTTTTATAAAATTTCACTTCTTTTGAGACCCAACATGATATGCTTTTAAAGAACTTTTTTTTTCAAAATATTTGGGACCGGTCTGATGCTTAAGGGTCTTGGGCGACCCCTAAAAATGTTTTTTATACAAAAATTTTTTAAATGTAGTATTGATTTATTACATAGAACACATTTAGGGTGTCCCATCAGACATTTTCAAAAAATGTTGTTTTTAGAACCACCCTAATATATATAAATATACATATATAAATTCAGCATTAGATAAACACCAATAATGTCATACTGAATATATATATATTTGTATATTTATGTGTGTATATATATATATATATATATATATATATATATATATATATATATATATATATATATATATATATATATATATATATATATATGTATATATATATATATATATATATATATATATACACACACACACACACATATATATATATATATATATATATATATATATATATATATATATATATATATATATATATATATATATATATATATATATAGGTATATATATATATATGTATATATATGTATATATATATATATATATATATATAAATATATATATATATATATATATATATATATATATATATATATATATATATATATATATATATATATATATATATATATATATATATATATATATATATATTCTAGCTTCCGATTCCATAAAATATAGGTCTTTTTCTACCAAACATACCATTTCTATATTTATCTATTCCACTCCGATCATTTCTATACCTATTATTTGTTTATGTCAATATTTTTACGTAAATTAATTCATTTAGAAAAATTGCTTTAAGAGAAAAAAAATTAACATGCGCACCTTTTCTGCATACCTAGGGTTACTAAGAGGTTTATAATTAGGTTTGTTTTTCTCCTAAACGCATATCATTGATAGCTCAGTTGATTAGTGTGCTGTCATCAGTGTTGCTTGGAGTGATTAAGGACCTTCCCTAAAATATTTTGAATATTTTTCAATCTTGCTTATTTATAGCAATATTTATACCAAAATTTTATTTTAGTAGGGGAGAGTTGCCTTAATTGGAACACTCAAGGAATAAATATTTATCAACCAAAGATGGTTTGAGTATGAAAACATTTATGATTTATTAAATACAAACAGACAACTTTACTATACTTTTAACCATAATTTGACTTTATTGATTGCACTGTTATCGGAAATGAATTTGTTTTTGCAAATATGCCATTTATTTCAATCAAGGGAACTGGTTTCCTAAATTGGAACACTTAAGTTTTTTAATCAGAACAAGTGTTTTTTTTTATTTTAAAAAAAAACAGTAAAACCAACAAAAATTGACTAAAAATGATTTTTTTCTTTACAGTGAAAATTTAAACAGTTCATCTAAAACTTATAATAGGATTAATATAATTCTGAAAAAGTGAAATTCTACAAACAAAAAATTGTATAGAACTGTTATGATGTTCTCTTAATTTATTGGTTAAAAATCACTAAATAAAGTATTATTTTTAAGTTTATGGTTGTTACTAAGTATTTTAAAATTGTGTTTGAACTTTTTCTACAACCCTTTGACTTTCTACTGATTAAGTCAGGAAAACGTTATAGTTCCAATCAAGAGAACTTTTACACAATTGTTCCATATACTGCCTGCAAATTCAACATACACTAAAGATGTTTACACTTACAAATGTTTGTACCCAACGCTATTCAAGTGGCAGAACTAAGAAGATCTTAGACCATTAAAAACTATAGACTATTAAATGCTAAAGGATTATTCTTAAATTACACAACATTAAATTTATTAAAGAAGAAGGAGATCTTAAGTTCTCCTAGGTGGGGATTTTCATTAAACTTAATGAGTTATTTTGATTTGTTATTCAAGTTACAACTCTGTGTGGGAAAATGTTAATCTTTTTTGTTTTGTTTATTAGTTAAATTTAGCATTGCGTAATTTATGGACTATCACAAATCTAAAAATTAGGCCAAAAATAGAGTATAATACTATTTTGATAATTATCTAAATTCTGTTGTTGTTGCGCACTCAGTTTAACAGGGGCACGGTAAAAAAACTGTAAAACTCTAAAAACTAAATTTCCTTATTATATCAATATTAAATAATTTTAACTTTTAATTATTTTTAAAAATAATAAATTTAATAAAATGTTTTAATTTAAATATGAAATTAGAAATTTCAGTTATTTTCTTATTAAAAAAATACTTTTTAAACCCCCTTACTGTTTTAAAAAAAGTTAAGGTCGCCACGTGGCAAGTACAAATCATCAGCTTGGTTTTTTTTTTTTAATTTTTGATGTAAGATTTTCGGGAAACATAAGATTGTTGGGAAAATCATTAACGTAGATAAGAAATAAAACAGGGTCAACAATAGAACCTTAAGGTACCCCAGAAGTTACTGGAAATAAAGAAGAGTGTTGGCCTTCGAGGCTGACTTTAATAAAGCGGTTAGAAATAAATGATTTGATAATCTCAAAAACCTTTCCAGATACACCTTATGAAACAAGCTTATGGACAAGACCAGCCTGCCAAACTTTGTGGAAAGCTTTAGATATTTCAAGAGCAATAACCCTAGTTTCTCTGCCTCCATCTGATGCACAATAAAACCTTTCAGTCACAGCAATTAGCAAGTCAGCCATAGAGCAAGAGGATTGAAAACAGTGTTGATTGTTTGACAGTAAGTTATTTGACTCAAGATGGGTTGTGAGAAATTTGTTTATCAAAGACTCAAACACCTTGCTAATAACAGAAAGAAGACTGATCTGACAATAATTAGAGAGGTTACAGAATGTTCACTGGAGTTTTTGAAAATTGGAGCAACAGACTTTTTTTTTCAGTCGAACATTAAATAGTTTAGGGAGAATTGAAGAAAGTTCTGAAGAACAATTTTGCAAGACTATGACAGGAATGTTGTCTGGACCACAAGCGGCAGAAGAGTTTAATTGAGATATAACTTTAGCAACAAAAGCTGGTGTGATTTGAATGTCTGACAATGGGTTAACTTGTTTAATTGGAATGGAAGGAGGAGAATGGCCATAAGATTCGAGAGTCGGATTAGAAGAAAAGTTCTTTGCAAATAGTTCTGTCTTATTCTTGGGAGAGGTAATAAGATTAATCCATTGAATGAGAGAATGTTTGAAAAAGACGAAAAAAATGATTACGATTAGATATAGCAGTTGCACAAGATGGTGAAAATTATGGAGTTGAATGAGGCTTGACATGGAGAAAGAATTAAAAATTCCATTCTTGTCTAAATCCAGAGGGTTATTCGCCACATTTTTCAGCCAAGAGGGAAAAGACATCAGCCCAAGGACCGTCACCAAGAAATATGCAAAAAGAATCCAAGTCAGCTTTCGCGTAGTAGTAAGTAGTGCAATTATAGGGTACATCCGAAAATGGTAGTACGATGAAAGATTGAAAAAAATCATTGCATGGTCAGAACCATCTAAAGGAGAAAAAGGAGAAACTAAACACAAGCTAGGATCAGAGAACAGCCATTAATCAAGGAGTGGCGATAAGTGATAAGAGTTGTCTGGAAAACAAGTCACAAAGTTAACTATCTGAGTAATAAATTAGGAAATACAAAACTTATTCATTTTAGTGCTAGCAGGGTTAGTGGTGTTAGAGCCAATTCATTCAATGTGATGAGCATATAAGTCACCAATAATAACAATATTGGCATAGAGGGTAAAGAGAGAGGGCGTGGTTAATTTAATCAGAGTTAACAATTAAAAGAGTACATTCTTGGAAAGAATGAGAATGATAACGAATAAAGAGAAAGGTGTTAGAGTGAAGAGGTGCTAAGCGAAGCACATAAAGGAATGGTCAAAGGATTGAACCTGATTTCACAACAAATAAGTGAATTGATGCGTATTTATACCCCTAAGCCAAGAATGTGACTATTGGAGTCTTTGGGAATCAAAGGATAGTACCCATCAATACTGAGATTAGCAGAAGGAATAGCAGAATTTAAATTAGTCTCAATAAGAGCCAGCAAGTCTGGTGAGTTTTGCAAGAGTTAGGATTTAACTGATAGAAGGTTGCTTCGCAGACCACAAATGTTATTAAAAGGTATATTAAAACAGTTAGGTGGTGGTGGGGATGGTTTTTTATATTTAATGTTTTGGGTTACTTTTGGCATGATTTATGTTTAAAGATAACTTGACTCATTCATAAATAGAGCACGATCTCCTAAGTAATGAGCTATGCAATTTTCTCAGTCTTGCTAATTAACCCTAAATCATTACATAGGGCTCCTTTCTTAGTCCTGTTAATTAACCTTAAGTCACAACATGGCACTGTTAATACTCTGTTAATGGAATAATACAGATGTTAATGGAATCAGCCTCTCTGAGAGCTACCACAGAGTTCAAGAAATCTTATTACCATACAGCCTCAGAACCATTAAACTGAGTTTTAGAGCTGTGCCATCTTTAGAAGATACTAGGAAGAGTTGCATGGCCACTATCAAAAAAGCACAAGCAAAAACCTATGAAAAAAGTCAAGAAGATCCAGCATTCATCATCTTA